CTAATGGGCATTCGACCCAACAATAAAAGCAAATTTAATTTAGGAAGATTCTCGTCTGCCAAATCAAACCCACTGTGGTTGTTCTTAGTTCTGTATTAACCTTTCTACTACAAAATCCCTCTCAAAGGGATAAACCACATTTACAATTATTCTAATTTAAAAGGTTACCGACCACGTGATATCCTTTAGTTTTAGGGAGGGGAGATGTGTTCTGCAAAGGATGATAGCCTTAGAAAATCGGTAGCTGCACCTGATTTCATGTTAATGAATCTATCACCAAATACAGCCCACTCTATGCAAGTCTTCCCTCCCTCCACTGTGGCACTTCAAATCTGTCATGGTAGCATCCTAGGGCTCCTCTCTATGCCCCACATGAAGACAACCCAGAACAAAAGGGAACAGCATATCCACTTATCTGAGGAACTTATTTTTTTCCGCCACTTTTCATTGCTTCTGAATTCTTTTAAACTCCCACTCTAGACACAGTGATTTACTAGGTGAGGTCACCAAACATTACTGTGGCACTTCAAATCTGTCATGGTAGCATCCTAGGGCTCCTCTCTATGCCCCACATGAAGACAACCCAGAACAAAAGGGAACAGCATATCCACTTATCTGAGGAACTTATTTTTTTCCGCCACTTTTCATTGCTTCTGAATTCTTTTAAACTCCCACTCTAGACACAGTGATTTACTAGGTGAGGTCACCAAACATTGAGGTGAATTTCTTATTTCACTTTGGCACTATTTGATCCTTCATTTTCTTCAGGATTGCGTATTTGAGTAGAGATTGGCATCTCTACTAATTAGCCTATTTTTGATCACCTATAGTTCTAGGGTCCAGAGAGTTTCCATAGGAAATTATGCTATTACCTCAGCAACTTCACAGTTTATTTTACCCTTAATGTCTAACATGATTTCCTCTTTTTCAGCTTGAATTCCTCCTCTTTGCTTTTTGTAAATGATTATCCTCTCACACAGTTAATAGGTGTCCTCTAGTATGATTCACAACATTTTTACGTTCATTTTGAAAATTCTATTTTCCATGCATAAATAACTAAATGTAACTATTTGTCCATGTTTATGGATGGGTACACAGATGCCATTTCCTAGCAATGTCTGACTAAGTGACTATGCCTGCATAGGAAGGGCTGAAGCAACTAAATAACATCATTTATATCAATAATTATTGATAAGAGGTGCGACTGTGCCAATGCATAACATGGTGCTACATGTTTCTTATACAGAAGAATCAGATTAATTTTCACCACAAGGCCATTTTTTGAATAATGAGCACATTCAATCACTATAATTCTTCCCTGTGGGTCACTGACTCCATTTCTTAATATTCTGGTTAATGAGAAATAATTCCTTCTTTGTTTAATGGCAAAATGCTCAGAGCTGCTCGCTTAATTTCAGCTATGGCCTTATTGGGTTATCAGATGAACAGTAATTTTCATTCCCATGCTCTTTATGGAGCATTTGTGATTTTTAGTTTTCTTTCTGAAGTAATAACTCAAAAGGTCTAAAAAAGGGAAAGGAAGGAGTTAATTTTAATCTAGCACTGATTCCATGCATGCTGAAAGAGTGATTCAAAATTCAGCACCTCTAAATTTTTCATTATCTTAATGCTCCACCTTTTAACTTGGCTTTCCCATGAATATATAGGATAGCTCCTACAATGAATTTTGTAATAAGACCTCTCCAGAAGCTTGTTCTTGCCTTCATGGTGCCTCATCTGCCTCACCAGGATATTTCCACCAAACAATGAAACTGTTCAGCACACTAACAGGAAGTCTGCAAACTTGGAATAGAGAAATATCACCATGTTTACTTCAAAAAGGAGGAAATTACTCCTCTAAGTAGGTAGACCCAAGATCATGATCAAACTCTTTTCAGAATTCATTACAATATTTCAGTAAAAATAGATATGTTTTTGACACTGAATTCATGCATAGACATAACCACAAGGAAGGAGAAACAAACTTCCTGAAGAAACTCTGTCATCTACCTTTTATTCCATAGGTGAGAAAGAGAGAAATTGGTTCTCCATTCTGTTTCTGTTCATGCACACAATTCTGTTTCTGTAGGTGTATAGATTTGAAAAACTGCACTAGAGAAGAAGAGGTCGTACAGGGATAACCAGAGTTTTCTGCAACATGCCCCTTTCTGTGGGAGAAAGTAACTGTACCACGCATTGTTTTACCTCATCTACTGTTTCTAAGAAGGCATAGAAAGAACAGAATAGACAGTTTTGGATAACTGGAGAAGTGCTATAGTGCATTCTGTGATACACAGATTTATACTGTGCCCAACAGCATAAAAATTATCAGTATAACACATTCATGAGGGTCTCTGGTCTCTTAAATTCTCTGATAGCTACGTCACAAATAATATGGAATGAATGAGTTTTAGACCTAATTCTGTATATCTAAAAATGCTGTTAAACTGGTAGATTTCTTAACTTTCTTTTGAGAGCAGGTGAACATTGTGTTCTGATTGAAATATTTAATAAGCCATCACTGATGTTGGGAAGAAAATTTTTTTTTTCATATACAGGTAAGGGCACTGTATCTGCTTTTTCATATACATTTCAAAATTTCCAGCAACAGGTCATGCTATAATTGAAGGTTATTGAACTTTCAACTCCAAAGCCTATGCTATATATGGTATATTGATATGGATTTTTCACTATTTTTATGTATGGAACATTTCAGAATACATTTCCCCATTATATCAAATGTCTAAATCAACTGTCAAAATGGAACCACCCTGAGGTGCTTCACTCAGATTTAGATTTAGATACCTCAGCAAGAAGGTTTTGAAGAGGCTCATTTCCAAAATCCTGAGAAAACCCTTTATTATAAATTGGTACCAGGACTGAAAACATTGGCCTACATGTTTGTCCCTAGTTTTTGAAATCTATAATTTATGTTTTTTGAATAACACATTATTCAACAGTGAAAAGAGTAAATCTACTTCTTACTATATTTGATTTCAAGCATTAATTTACTGCCCACAATTTCATCAGATGTGGGATGTTTTTTAAAGCCATGGTACCCTGAGTTCTAGTGTTCAAAGCTGACAAACATAACAGATAAAATAAAATTGCTGATCTGACACTGTGAAACTGCAATGCACAGCAGGAAAATTATGATATTTGAGGTTCTTGGCTACAGGCAGGAACATGCAACACAATTCAGAAAAGAAGCGATGTAAAGATTATCTCAACTTCTCTAACCCTTAGTTAAAGAAACTACTCCAATCCTTCCTTCCCTCCACCCCATATTTCCAATACTCCACTCTTGCTTTTAACAGTCATGTAAATACATATTTAATTTTGTGAAGAGACTAATTTCCTTCTATAGAAACAGTTACATTAAACATCCTTTCTGGCGGGAGTAAATTTTAACTGGAATGAATGATCCTTTCATGAGTACAACCTTTGAAGTCTGGATTCAGAAATATATGTATAAACATGCAGACACAAGAGTCGATATTGATGTGCTCAGTTATCTAAACTGCAATCCAGAGAAAGAGAAAAACATCCTTTCCCTGCATCTCCCTTTGTTTGCTCTTCTAGTATCTGTTAAACAAATCATAATAGCTACAAAACTCATATAAGAAATCATCACATGCTCAGATTTTTCTTGTAGACATGCACCAGACTCTACACAGTTTACAGAGTTTCATTTATTTATTGCTTTCTCTGCTCTGTTTATTTACTGTGCTGTAGCAGCTGACTGAACTGCACAGTTCCGTTAATCAAAAAGTAAGGAGCATCTATCTCTGCACTAGGCCAAGGGTTTACAAACAAGCAGGAAAATACTGGTAGATAAAAGTAAAAAGTGACTCTTATTTTGTTGTTTATTACCTGAAAATGCACACAAAAATTACAGACATTTTTAAATGTGTTCATTAATACTTTATAAACTGAATTTTATCTTTAGCCATTCTTCACAGTCAGTGAAGTCAAAGTATTGAAGAAGCTGGCTCACAATTCAAGAACTGTTGCAAGATGGTAGCCTCAAACCACAGAACAAGCTTGTGCCTAATTACCTTCAATTTCATCCATGGGAGACAGTATAAGAGTTCTCAATGTAATACCCTGTTCTTATATTGCAGCTCCTCTGAGAGTGATTATAGGAAACAGTGTGAAGCATACTTTGTGGGGTGGGTTGCTTTGTTTGATTTTACCTGAAGAGTCCAAAAGGAAAAAAAAAAAAATAAAAAGACTTCTGAAAGAAGTAAAGCAAAACCTTTCCATGCACTGGAAAGAACAGATTTGTGCTTGTTTGTTTAGAACTTTCATGCTCATGAACAGGGAGCTTTTAAGGCCCAATTTTGGGATCCAGTCCCAGTAGAACAAATCAAAGAGCAAACATAGGAATGCTGGTGAGGGCTAGGCTTTGTAACAATGTTTTTATAAAGATATAATTGCTAATGGGTCATGTGTTTTTATGCCTCTTCATTATGGATTCAGCACCAAGAGCAGAAGAAAGACATTTTTATCAAGCTGTGAAAACAAAATGTTAGAGAAACAAATCCTGACATACCTAAGTAGAAAAAAAGCTCTTACAAACTACCCTGAGACTTTTATGACTAAGGCAGATTGATGCTTTCACTTTTAAAACCAAATCTTATGAAGATAGTCATAGATAGATGTGCTTTTTAGGCCTGATTTATAAACTTGCCATTTGTCAGATTACAGGTCATATTTTATTATCTTTTACTCTTCAGACATTCAAAGCTTTAATATCCATTCAGAGGTCTTCTTGAATTGTGAGCCATTTTCTTCTTCTTTTGGATATGCGTGAGAAAACTGAGTAAGTGAGAGGCAGGGAAGGCATGGCTTATTTTGCAAAAAGAAATGCTATTAGATTTCAGCATTATTTTATCTGTGTATATAAACAGAATGAAAACAAGCATATACTGGGAAAATAATATTGTTTTAACTGACTTTATCTAGCATGAAACCTTGAAAATCATAATACAACATACCTCCCAGTCCTGGTCTCAGGCGGTTGTCATAACCATCCAGCAGACGATCCAATATTCTGGTAAACACTGTGGTGTTGTCTTTAAGTTCATCTTGTGATGAGGTTTGTCCATAGCTGAAATACAGAACAGTTAACACTGAAAACCAGTAATCCATCAACAACCTTACAAAACAGTAATACCAAAATCCATTTAATCTTGCTTATACTGATTTATGGTCACATAACCTCTGCCATATAACAAGATTGTAGTGTTTTATAGGGATTTTTCACATTTATATTCTCTTCTTAAATTGTAAATTCTTTTGCATCATAGAAAATCAGTGCCTCCCTATAAATGGTGAGCAAATAGAACAACAGTTCCTTAATGTTTATTTCATTACTCATTAATGTTTATAATGTGCTAGTATGTGTGTTCCTCAGGAAAAGGCTCATTTGTCAGCAAAAAGTAATGTATTTAATTCATAATAGTTATAAAGGGTTTGCATACAAAGAAAGATACAGTAATTTAGAACACTGACACTTAAGTACTGAAAATAAATCCTGAAATGTACAGAGGTATCTTCTTTTTGTGAATATAGGAGTAGATCAAGTTAGTCTGCACCTTCATAGATCGATATATCATTTTGCTTTATTTCATCCCTCATTTTCCTTTAGCAGTTAGATTTGGAGGAATATCTCTATCTTTTCCTTACAAATGTGTAATAAAACCATCTGTTGATATGCAAATCTCTCATGCCTATAAAGCTTTGCTTACAGATCCCTAATGTATATCTCTAACTCAGCCAAAGGTCCTGAAATTTTACTTGAAGAAGGATAAAATTAAAGCTCTTTGAACTCAGCTACCAAAATCTTACTTCCATCAATACAAATCAGAATGAAATCCTTGGGCTTAGTGGTTTCTCTCTGCTGTAGATGACATCAGAATCAACCTTTTTCTTAAATCTGAAACCTTTACCTAATACCCTGTCACAGATGATTCCCTTAATCATAGATTACACTTGTCTTAAAGCCTAACCCAGCACCGTTTTTTCATTCATTTCTGGGAAGACTTCCATTACAAACACATGTAGTCATCATGACTAAAAGCAAAAGCACTGCTTTCCAAAACATCATTTTGTTGCACACATTGCTACTGAACTGCATAAACAGTGCAGGGCCAAAAACTTCTGCTAGGATCAGGTCTAGCCACAAAAGTGACTCTTCCATTGGCCAAGCCGTTACCCACTGGGCGATACGTGGGTCTCGCTGCTCTGCCAATCACTCTGCTCCAACCAGCAGAGACCACCTCAGGAGGACTATGCTGTTACATGAAATTATCTGGTTCTATTAAAATACCTCTGAAAGGATTTTCTGTAAGCTGCATCAGCCACACATCCTGAGCGTATCCTACACGTATATTCCATACACAGAGAGAAGGAGGAAAGACACCTTGAATATAGGTACTCTGGAAATGCTTCCAAGTTTATTTTGCAGTAAAATTTGTCTATGTAACACTACAAATTCAAATTAGTTTCAGGACTGACACCCATAGAAGTTTTACTAATTTTGGGTCTATTTCCATAGGATGTGACTTTGTAGAGAACAATGTTTAGAGTTTTTTTAATGTATATAAACCACTGTTTCCAATGAAGAAGACAAAATCTCTAACAGTTTTAAAAAATACTATGAATTTCCTCTAGCCATATCATACCATTTCACTGAATAAAAATATAGGTTGATTTACATTTACTGTCCATACCTCAGTTGAATTTTAAGTCACAGCCATTAGTATTTTTTATACTTCCTATGTGTTACCAAATAACAAGCTCTCCTGCTGTCTCCAGCAAGCATTATCTTTCAAAGGATCTTTCCTCATACACCTTCTGTAGAACTGCAACACAGGACCTTTCACTGGATTCAATTTTATGTTAACACTCATTGTCAGAAAAAAAAGTTGCTGTACATAGATGTCTCAAGGATAGCAGAAGGTCATCAGGATTAAGGTGGAAAAAAAGATGTAAAATCACTTGAGAAATTTTAGTGGTAAATAAATGAGCATGTTTGCGAAGAGGCATCAAAAAGATGGACTGGTGGCAGTGCAGTCAGACAGGCTGCAATACAGTGCTCTCCTTCCATGCTGGGAATGACATTTGTCAGTGCCCTTACCTGTTCTTCCCACCATTTTAGCAAAGGTAAGAAGCACTGTTAGGGCTGGGTTTAACTGACATATGGTCACAACAGGAAGATTGTGAACATTTGTGCACAGATGGAGTAGACTGTAACTCCGGAGGATTGTGATTTTTCATTCAAAACACACATATTACAATAGTTCTAATGCTGGGTTTTTTTTATGGTAACAGGAGTGACGTGGGAAGACTGTGTCTTTCTGTATCACTTTATCTAACTCAGCAATTATTTTTTAGCATAAAGCATTAACAGCACTCCAGAGGGAAGCGCAAGGGAACTTACTATGACAAAATGGCTTTAAAACCAGATCTATTTCGTGCAAGGTTTGTACATTTTGAGGGAAAATGACTGTGTGCAATTGTGTTTTCACATTAAACCCCAGTATAATAAAACACTGTGCACTGACTCCATCTACAGGTCATTATAATACTGACACACCACCCAAATTTTAACCACTGGTCTGATGCCTTTTAATTCTCACGTTAAGAATGCACATTCATCCATTACAGCTGTAATAAATACGTGTACACAGATACACGTACACATAGCTACATCACAAACATGTTTTCATGAAATTCTCTAGCTAGGCCAGATGAAGTACTTAGTGAATGCTTCAAATCCCACCTTTCTCAATATACTATAAAAATAAAGGTTTTCGTTCTAAAACATCATGTTTATTCAATACAACAACTGTTACATGAATCATCCGCTTTGTTTTTTTCCTTACAGGAAGTGCTTGTCCAGATGAACCTGTGCCCTTCGCCTACTCCATTCTATTCAAAGCCTTAAAAGTAACCAGAAAAGAAGTTTCTCTAGAACTGGGAATGCATAAGGAGACATTATGGAGATCAAGGTACAAGCAGTTCTTTTGGGGATCACTACTGCCAACACAAAAGCTCTACTGCTCTTTGGTCATTAGTATCATCATTGACAGGACATTTATGTGTTTAAAATACAGACATATATCTGAGACCCTTCTCTAACATTCACTGAATTGTGAATTGCAGAGAGTACTTCAAGTATACTCCAAACTGCTTTATAGTCTTTAGTTAACTAACCTACCAGTTGTTTGATGAGGTGTTGTATGATTCCAAATTATTCTTAATACTATTTTTAGATTAGGATTTCAACCAAGATTCCACAAACATTCAGTGCAGCATAGTCCTTCAAACAGAACTGTTACGGACTTTGAGCTTACAAATTCTTCTTCATCCAACAGTTCCCCTTCACCAGCAAGGTCTACTTCAGATTTTCCATGCAGCTACTAAGTTAGAACACAATCCTGATCAACAAAGAAGTTAAGTTTTGCCTCTGCTTGCAGGAACAATAAAGTTACTAAATAGGGCTTCAATGAGATTAAAATAACCCTTGATTATACTTTGTTCCCCTCTAAAGTAATTTGTATTTCTGAGTAGCCATTATATAAAAGTAGAAAAGGTTGCACAGGTGTTTAAGAGGTAGTTTAGTTTCAATTTGTCTCAGAAAGCTTTTGCTTTATTTTTTTCACAATGCTGAACAAAATGTCATGCAAACAAACTGTAGATTTCTTTCAGACTTCCCTTAGTTAGATTTAGCTGGGATTTGAGTGAGGATTACCTTCCCCCAATACACTTAGTAGTAGTGCAGCCCATGCAGTATTTGACTTATTCTGCTATATTAAATTAAAGGTTTCTAAAGTATGTTGGTGCATTAAAAAATAT